TTGGCCATTTACCATTTGCGATAAATCGAATTAATTCTCGGAATTCAAACAGTTTCTATTTAGCGTTTCCCAGAACCAATCTGTACAAGAACTCACCAATATTTAGAATGTGTTCAGTTTTCAATCGATATACTTCAGATATTGACATAGATATAATAAATCTTAAAAAATTTATATTATGAGATTTAGGGCGTTTGTGTTGTGGACAAAATTAATTTTAATCAACCATTTTAATCACGTATTGTTTAGTTTTAGTAAAAATGTTTTAGTGTTTAATCTTTTTGGATTCTCCAGAAAAAAATATTCCATTTGGCTATTTTGGATGTTCTCACAAATACAGAGAAAGTCAAAAATAAGCCCCTGTTCAGTCCTCGTTGGATGATCCCGAGGATGACCCTGTACATGAACATAGTCACTGATATTCAATCATCTACCATCTGACCATACAAATACAAATACCACCTCGAATACTAATCAATCAATCAATCAATATGTGCTTTATTGTCGTAAAAATACAATTGATCTTTATAGACAAAGCAAAGTACCTACTACCTTTTTGAAAGTTCTCTGCTCACCAACCAAATCTATACATATTTGGAAAATTTTGAATTACTCCATTGTAATTGAATTAATTTAAATAGGTAAATTAATTTACCAAGAACTGTGCGACCTTTGTAATTGGCAAATCGAGTGGAAAATGGATTTGAGAAGTTGGGTTTATGGCATTTTTGTACTTGTATGTATAGAGTCAATGCATGTATAGAGTCAATGTATGTATAGAGTCAATTTTACTTTGAAATGCTGAAACCAGAGCAATTTTATATCAAGTACCTAAGTATGATATAATCCTCAGATATAACTTCTGCAAGCAACACACAGAACAATACAACTCTCGAAAATTTCTCAGATAAATACCATGATCCCTATAAAATCGTAACGCAGCTAAACAAGTACTTTATAAAATCATGCCCAGAAATCAATAAAAACAGAAACAGTGGCAATGCCTCTCTGTGTGAAAGGTCATTGCAATCTGTGTATCTGCGACCAAGCAATTCCCAGGAAGTTCTCCAAACTATCAAAAAACTTAAAAACAAAAAATCAGTAGGAGATGATCATTTGCCTATTAAAATAATTAAAGACGTTGCAGAATACATATCAGACCCATTAAGCCATATAGTAAATCTTTGTTTCAAAACGGGAATCTATCCCCATTTATTGAAGAACGCTCTCGTAAAGGCAATTTATAAAAAGGGAGCAAAAGACAAGGAACAAAATTATAGACCCATATCACTGTTGTCTAATATTGGTAAAATCTTTGAAACAATGATAAACTCTAGACTCATTAGCTTCTTGGAAGGGCACTCGATCCTATCTAATAATCAAAACGGCTTTAGAAAAGGAAAATCCACCATTAGGGCCATATACCAGCCTTTATAATATGTGTTAGACTCATTAAACAATAAAAAGATAACCCTAGCCATGTGTATGGACCTGTCAAAAGCATTTGACAGTGTAAATCACAATACTCTTAGTGAGAGGCTAGAAAACAATGGTATTCGAGGAATTCCTTTAAATTTAATAAAAAACTATTTATCAGATCAAACACAACAAGTAATTGAGTATGATTCTTGTGGTAGATCTTCAATGTCGTCAAAGATCAGGGTCGAGAGGGGTGTCCCTCAGGGGTCCATCTTGGGACCTCTGTTGTATATTCTGTACACCAACGAGTTGTCTGCTGTAACGGGTGAACATACAGTTTTGTACGCTGATGACACAACGTTGATATTTAGTGAGGATGATGCTGGGGAGATGTTGAATAGGGTGCACTCAATACTTTACCGATTCAGATCTTCTTTTAAATGTGCCAAAGACTCAGTGTGTAGTTTTTGGAAATCGCAAAGACACCATGTTCACATTTTCTTACAAAAATGTGGAAATTGAAATATCTGATAATGTGGCTTTCCTCAGAATAAAAATTGACAAGCGGTTAGATTGGAGTGCTCACGTCGAGAGTGTCGCAGTGAGTGTGTCCAGATATTCTTTTGCCTTGAGGGTCTTATCAGAGAGTGTGGGCGTTGATGCTGCTGTCAGCCTATCATGCCTTCATCCAGTCAAGAACTAGGTATGGCTTGATATTTTGGGGCAACTCTGTGGAAGTGGGGAGAATTTCAATTCTTCAAAAGAGCTGTATTCGATCCATTTTTGGTATGAAACCAAGAGAGAGTTGCAAAAACGTATTTATTGACAAAAAAATTATTACCCTTACAGGATTGTATATAGTGGATTCTTTTATGTTTGTACACAATAACGGGGATATTTTTGAAGGTGAATCAATCACGCGTACGAAACTAGAAATAAGTCAAATTTGTCAACACAAAAATGTAACTGTAGCTATATTCCAAAAAATGTGCATTACACTATTGTTGAAATCTACAACAGTTTTCCAGAGAATGTCCGTAGTTTGGTAGGTCCCAGGGCCAAAGAAGTTATAAAGGCATACCTAGCAGAGAAAGCATTTTATTCATTAGGTGATTTTTTCAACGATCATGATAGATTGAATTCACATTAGATTCCGGTGAATCATTGTCTGAAGAGCTTTAATCTGCTTTAACTTTAATTTGATTTTGTGGTTTGACTTAGCTCCATGAATTGCAAAAATTGTCAATAGATCAGTGCGTATTTGGTTTATCTGTGTTCATTTTGTTATGTATGTCTCTAAACTTTGGATACCTGGGATATGATGTTATTAGTTTTAGTTAGTGTATAATAATTATTATAGATATATTTGTAAAAAAAGTAATTTTGAAATAATCTCTTTTTTAACAATGTTCCACACCTTTTGAGCTACAATGAAACATCTTATATGTTTAACTTTAAGTGTTATTGGAATAAATAAACGATTAAGTATCTATCTATCTATCTATCTATCTATCTATAATCCTAGGTAGGTAGGTACACCTACCTAATCTCAATAATATACCTATTTGGAATTTTTCTGAATAAACTGTTTAACTATTTTTTTAATTAAAAATACCTTTTTAGCTGATGAGTGTATATTTACATGGATTCATACCTACAGCAAATAAAATAAAATAAGATAACATAAGGTAAAATAACAAATAAGAAATAACAAATAGTAAATGGGTTGGCATTTATCGAGGCGTTTATAAAGACAAATAAAATAAAATAAATAATTTTCGACCAATAGAAGTATATGTTTTGCACATGCGCCCATCCGAGCGCCCATCCAACTGGATTTCAAAACATTTCATATTCGCATTTTTCAAAAACAACTGACGAAAAATCGATACACCAAAGCATGTGCACTTCCATTTTCACATAAAATCAAATTGGATAAAAAGTTAAAAGTTTATTTTATTTGCTGTATAAAGGCGGGTTTAAACAACTTCATAATTTAATACATAATTTTTGAAATGTCATAAATAGAGTGTATTGATGGCAAGGCAAGGTCTTATTACAGTCTGGAGGAGTATTACGATGATTGTTTGTAGCGAGGTTTGCAGCTATTGATTTTGTCAAGTACTTTCATTTTAATGTTCTGTTTTCATATGTATTTTTGTTTTTAGTTATAATAATTGTATCTATTCTTACGGCTGTTTGTTATTTTAATTTTTGACATTTTAATATTGTAGTTATTATTTTATTATTGTACTGTTATTACTCTTATGGTTGTTTGTGAATTTAAATTTTGACATTTTATTATTGTGTTTATTGTATTTTTCTTATTGTTGTATTTTTCTGCTTTGTAGACAAGATATTTTGCTCTTTTTACAATAAAGCATATTTTGATTTGATTTGAATATTTTATTAATATATTTTGAAATTTGACACTGACAGAACTCAAAAGGTCCAGGTTTTTTATAATTTAATCCATAAAAGTTAAAAGTTAGGAACTTTCAAGGTCATCCATGATGAACTAAATTATGAATTGAGCATTAACTAGATGTATAAACGCTTCCATAGAGAATAATAAATTTAACTATAAAGCTTATGCACTGAATTGTGAAATACACAATAAATTGAAGTTATGAAGTTGTTTAAACTCGCCTTAGATCCAGCTTCAATCTGGATTCCGAGCTGGATTCATTAAATTTGACTAAGAGAAAACCAATGAACTATAGCTTAAAACTGGAATGCGCACTCATTGCCATATCTGCCAAAAAAATGAAGCCATGAAAGACAGATGCCACAAGGGGGAATGTTCTTTTTTTCTGTTGCTCGCTGACATATGACGTTTTCGAAAGTTTTGTCATATTTCCCTTCACAGGTTTCATCAATTGGAATCCGTGTTGGAAGCAATTTTCGCCATTTAACATAATGAGTGCGACAAAAACAGGTATCCCCTCCGCAGCAGCCGCACTAGGCTTCACGTTCGTCCATATGTGTTCGCATTCCAGTTTTTGGTTATAGTTCATTGGAGAAAACCAAGATAAAAACCGAGTAAAAACTTTTCAATTTTCAAAAAACATGAAAAAAATCAAGTTAACTTTGAAGAGTTGTCCAAATTGGTGATTACGTGGGTAGAGAATTTGAAAATAAAACACTTTTTCCTTTACCTTTTTTTGAAATTTTGAGAAATTACCCAATTTTTAGTATTTTTCTTGAAAATATGTCAAATTTGACAGGTTAGTAGGTAAATAAATATGTATAGCTAATTGTAAAAAAAATTGTCAACGTCGGTTTGCATTATTTTCAGAGTAAAAACTGGATGTAAACTCCAAACTGTATATCTTGCTGTACCTATATAATATGCTCGATAATATGTAAGAAAATAATTAAAGTTTAAAGACATTTTGGTCTTGTTATCAATGATTAATTATCGCCTGGAGTAAGTACCTACTGCCGTGGTTGTAAATTTATAAAATATATTGTTGATCTAATTGATGATCTAATGGTTCGAGTGGTATAGAAATTATTTAAAAAAAAAGGCATTCAATCCTTTGCTCCAGTGTCAATGGATAAATAATACAATTAATTACCTTCAAGTGTTCCTTGGAAATTAACTGGCAAAATCACTCCAATTGAAAATGCTGTTATGACAGCAAATAATATCAATATGTGTTTTTGGAATGACAAATAATGTAGAGCATCTGGTCCACATCTTGCATATATTTTGTTTTTAGTTATTTTGAAAACCGAAGGAAACCACAAGCAGCCTGTATCGGGAACCAACGACATATCTGCACTTGTTTCTTCAACAGCTACTGCGTCATCTGTATTTTTGTAGAAGAGTTGTGTCCATTTTTCTGTATGTACCAGTGCTAATCTTCCATAGTCCCAGGCACGGTTCCTCAATATGGCAAACAACAGTATCAATAATATCCAGCATATAACGTTCAGGATTAATGTTTCTGGGATGCCATCGTAAATGTTTGTTATAACAGTAGTGTTTTTACGTATTGTTAAACAAGTGTCATCGTCTGTAAACACTATTTCCGGCTGTTGGACCATTTTATTTCACAGTTCACATCTGTAACCACTAAAGTATTTACTTAGGTACGTACCTACTGCTTTCTCATTGGTTATTTTTTAGAAGTACGCTGTAGCTGTACACCTTGTCTTGTCATTGGTAATAAAACTGTAATCCGCAGTAATCCATGCCAACCTCGTTATCTTATGATTGATTGACGAGAATAAAATCTTGTTCTTTCTGTTTATTTGATAATAATAATGATAGAGACTTCACAGTTCAGGGAGAGAATTGAGGGAAATAAATAACAATTAAACACACCACTCAATCACAAATAACAAATAATAGGAATATTTTGAATAACACAAGTGAAGTGTCAAACACGTATGCTGTTACGTCAAGAGTCAATTCGAAAAATTGGTTTCCGTAGTCTATTTCCTTTCACACCTAGGTGGGGCTCCGGAACAGCTCCGGGCATTAGCGCTTATTCCTTTCGAAAAGAGCCGCTTTCCAGTATGGGAGTGTGACGCCCGGAGCTACTCGGGGCGTTGAGCTCCCGAGCTGTACGTACGCGTCAACCTGTCTTCTTGTTATATCTCAAGATTGAACATTTTAAAATATATAGTTTTGGTTCTCTTTCATTTATGATAAATAAAAAAACAAACTGCACATACAGGGCCGAGATTCTAAAATCACGATTCGACACACGACTCGATAACGATACCGGCCTTGTCGTCTCGAAAGGTATAATTCCAATGAGATTTCTAACCTAGAATCATCGGAAAAATCGTCTCGTTGTCGAATCGTATGTCGAATCGTGATTTTAGAATCCCGGTCCAGATAATTATTTTTAAAATTTGACATATTTGACACTAAAACAGGCGTCTCACGTCATGATACTGGAACGGTACAAATCTAGTGCGTGGCGCCCCCGAGGTGCTCTAGAGCGCGCCAATGTGCATACTGGAAAGCGGCTAAGCAGTGATGTGCCTGTAGACAATGTCAACGTAAACAATTGATTGTCTACGTGTAGACAATTCGAATTGTTTACGTGGGCATTTGTCTACACATTGTCTACATGTGACGTAAACAATAAGGGAGTGAATTCTGCGCCTACCGGTAGGTCCCATTTGTTTCATTGATTGCGTGCCTACCGTATGTATAACGCTAAAACATTATGGTAGGTCCTCAATTGCCACATGATATAACGCCTATCGGTAGGTACTGTTTGCAAAAAGAATCCTGAGCCTACCGGTAGGTTCATATTAATTCAAGAATCCGTCGCCTACCTATTGTGCATATATATGTGCATTTACGTTCGATGTGTGATATATTTGAAAAAGGTTTTCCATGTTTTTGGTGGATTTAAGCTTCCGAGAATCTTCTCTTTGAAGTTTGGCGAACGGAGCGAGCAATCCAGAGGCTCAAAAATATTTAAAATTTCAAGGGGTTATACCTATTTAATAAAGGTTTTTCACGTTTTTGGTGGACTCACCGGCAAGCAGAGCGAGCAATCGCAGACTCAAAAATATTTTGAACAAGAAGGTGATATATTTGAAAAAGGTTTTTCACGTTTTTGATGGATTTGCTGTCCCGAGGATCCTCTCTTCGAGGTTTAGCCAGCATAGCGAGCAATCGGAAACTCAAAAATAATTTCAAGGTGTATGCAGAAGGATTTTCAATAGGTTGCCGTCTAAAATGACGCAGATTTCAAACATCAACAAGTTTAAAGTCCAAATTAGAAAGATGTTAGGTAGGTACTAATAAAGGCTTATCACCCAGTGGACGAATTTCTTAATGACAATTTTGCAAACAAACAAAAATGTATAAGGTAACGCATTTAGCTAGCAAGAGCTGACTGGTTGGTAGGATATACGGATTCTAAAGTAAAAAAACACCTCCAATAGGCGCTTGATCAATTTACGAAAAAGGACCTACCCACCAGTAGGCGCACAATCGGTGGATGAAAAAGGACCTACTGGTAGGCGTACGACCGTTGGATAACAAAGGACCTACCGGTAGGCGTAGGATTCACTCCCAAACAATAAACTTATTTTAGAAAATTAAAAAAAAAGTTCCAAAATTACTACTACCTAAGTAGCTTATACCTATCACTTTGATATCAGCATTCACTGATTATAAATATGAGGAAAACCGATAATAAAATAAAAATAATTTTTGAAAAGGAAAGTGTGAGGTTAGAATTAAACGTCATTATATTACTTTCACAGCCTCCTATAGTTAACAAGCCACGAAGTTGGAAATGACGGCAACGTCGCGTATGGTGCTATTTTGTTATTGGGTTATGTGTTTCTGTGTATTGCTTTCATTGTGTATTGTTGCAATTTAGTATTTTTATGGGCATTATTGACGAAAAAGTGGATAGAAACACACCAATATATTGCCCATATTTAGTTGATACCTGTTCCTTTGTGCTTTGATTGCCAATTTTTAGCAAATGGGTACAGGAGCAAAAATGAAGGTAAGGTAAGGTAAAACAATAAAAACAATATTAATATTTGTCTGCAAGAACATAGTTCTCGATATATTACCTAAGATATTTAAACTTGTTCCAGATGCCATGAAACTACTGTGTTCCTGGGTGCAAATCGAACTATTAGGAGTTCCTTAAAAACTGAAGAAATGCAAACATTTTTATTTCCAAAAAAATTCTGAAGTGCAAAAAATGTGGATGAAAGCAATACACCAAGATAATTATACCCGAGATTATACAATAACGAAAAATTCTGTGGTGTGTTGTAAACATTTTGAAGAAACCGAAATAATTAGATTTGAAACAAACAAGGATAAAGGTGTAGTTCGAGAGTTCAAACTAAAACGTCCAACTCTTAAAAGTAGGTACCTCTTATTTTCGAAAATCAGCTCAAGTATTTGATGGACTTGCCTTCCGAAAAAATCCCGAAGAAAGAAAAAGTTAGATTTTCAAAAGACATACTGAAACATAACACTTTGGACTCTAGAAATATATTCATTTAAATCAATTATTTACTGTTCTTATTTACACAAATAGTTAAATTATTCATTGAATTACTGTTTTTGGCCATTTAGTACAATAAATTATGCATTTTTTGTGATTCATAATAATAAAATAAAAAATATATATTTATACAAACAAACACCACCAGCACCACTTGGCGGTAAGATTGCAATGTTGCCTTTTTAACTTCATGGCTTGTTAAATGTAGGAGGCTGTGTTACTTTACATTGTTGACACGTTGTCTACATTGTCTACATAGTCTACATTGTCTACACGTAAAGTAGACAATGAAAGTCTACGTGTAGACGCACATCTCTGCTGCTAAGATGTCTTTGTTGCACCTGTGCTCAAGCCCGAACTCAATCAATGCACGAAAGCCAGCGCATCTGTTTCTTTCAAATCGGGGTCGACAATACCGGAGCAAGTAGCTCTAGTGTTCTAAACTCTTGAAAGGAATAAAACTATTGGCCTTGCGTTCGGTATTTTGCTCAAAGAGTAGAGCGTGCTGAGCCGAGCCTTAATCACGTGACCATCGAGCAGTTGAACGCTGTATCAGAGAGTCAGAAATTTTAATAAATGAACGCGAATGAGCCTGCACCGAGTACACTTTTTTAATTAACGAACGGTAAATTCAAGCTCTGAGAACTCAGATCAAAATACCGAACGAACGGTGGGTATGACTAGCTGCGTTCGTCTATCCCTTGAAGTGCGGAGCGTCTGGAGCTTGAACTTTCTTGAACATAGGTCAGCTGATCATCGAGTAAACCGAGCTTGAAATAAAAAACGAACGGGTTTTGTGAAGCATGGAGCTTCTCGACCATACAACAGCTGCGCTCGTTTATTCGATCTGTCCGCACCGTAAGCTCGAAATTGTTAAATGCCGTTCGTTTATTATCTTTCGAACGTTCCGAGCAAAACTTTTCGCATTCCTAAATACGTCGAGAGAGTGTATCGAGCTCGCTCATTTCGCTCTGAACTTTTTAATGGTGTGGAGTGTGCAGCGAGCGCCAATTGGAAAAAATCTTACCTACTTAAGCCTAGTACTCATAACTGCGAAATTCGCATTTTTTTGACATTGCTTCGACAATTTGACGTTTGATACACGCATAAAACGTCAAATTGTCAACGCAATGTCAAAAAAATGCGAATTTCGCAGTTATGAGTACTAGACTTAACCTAGTAAAAGTAATATCTTGTTTTTGTTTTTGTTAGTTTAAAGTTGTTTAGTTTTTGTGAGTGTGTGACTGTGACTATTGAGTTTAAAATTAAAAATGCCGATCCTACAAATTTCGAAGAAAGACGTCACCGAACCGAGTACCAGAGTGTTGTGGCAGTGAGCATCAGTACAGGTGTACTGAAATCTGTGCAATTCAACCCTCTTCAGTACGTCAGTGGCTAAATAAACCTCTACATACAGTGGCGACAATAGAGGTCCCGCCGCCATTTTGTTCCCAACCTCTTGTTACTTTTAAATATTAATATATAGGATTTAAATGGACCATCTATCATAAAAAATTGAAATCGACGTATTTGATGACTATTATTAGGTCCATCAAATACGTTGTTTGCCATGTTTTATGAAGGATGTTCACCCAAATCCCATATACTTATTCATATTTGAAATAAGCAATAGGTGGGAACAAGATGGCCGCGTTTTCAATATAAATATATGGGATTTTAGAACCAATCAAAACTAAGACAGCAATTGTCGCCACTGTGGGTAATAGAGTCACTAGCCAGTACCACATATAAAATCAGTACATTCTGCCGCCGCTGTACAATACCGGGAATATTTTTAAACGGCGGGAAAAATTAACGAATACCTGCATTTTCGAATGGACGGACGAGGTTAGCGGATCACTCTGGGGGCATCCCAGCAGAATTTTGAACGCACCACCCAAACGTGCCTTTAGCCTGCTCTCGTTTTACACCCGTATGCACCGCATGAACTTAATCCCGATTAGAAGTTTAAACTCGCTTAGTTCGAAAATTTGTCATACACTGCAAGAAAAAAGGAGTTTAAGCTTTGGATTACAAGATCCACCAGAGAAGAGTGTTTTGTGGCAGGATTAAGTTGCTTAGATCCGCTAAGATCAAAAAAAATTCCAAGGGTGATGGCAATATTACTGAGCTATTACTTAAATTGCCTAACATGTACATTCTTGAGAATCTAGAAGATATTAGCATTGAATTTTGTGAAATAAGTAACCTGCCCCAATCTGTAAAATCAGCTGCCGGATTCTATTTTAGGATCGAATCGAATTGTCCGTTATGACACTCGATATCGAATACCACAGCTCCGGAAGTACCGTGTAATGCGTATCGAAAAATCGAAGAATAGAATCACTATTTTTACAATTCGATACGAATTTCGACTCGACTCGTAAAATAGAATCAGGTAGAGATCTTCTCTTATCCTTGCGTTCGGTATTTTGCTCAAAGAGTAGAGCGTGCTGAGCGGTGCCGTAATCACGTGACCAGCGAGGGAACAGAGCAGTTGAATGCTGTATCTGAGTGCCCAAAAACAATGAACGAACGCAAATGAGCCTGCACCGAGTACCTACACTTTCCAAATAAACGAACGGTAAATTCAAGCTCGGAGAACTACTAGAGTCTAGCCGTCACAGCCGGAGCAAACCCGAAAATAGCCGAACAGCGAACTCTGGTACATAGAAAT